TGCTGCTGCGGCTGAGGCTGTTGTTGCTGCTGCTGCTCTAGGGCATCAGTCCTAGTCCCCTCGTCTGCACCACCGTACTTGCCACCACCTCCGCCACCTCCGCAACCCCCACAACCTCCGCCACCCTTCCCTCCGCCACGCCCCCCCTTGTGGCGGTGGCCCTTAACCTGACGCAACTGTGCTAAGGCCGCGTCGGCGGTCTCAGGATAGTGCGCTGGCGGTTCTCTATCGCGGATATGGCAGTGGCAAATGCGGTAAGGGTGAGGTCACCTGGGCGCTCACTAAGGAAGTGGTCGCGTGCAGTGGCTAGGCCGTGAGGGGGGCATGTGCAATGAGGTAAAGGGTAGCGTAAAGGTGGGGGGGGAATGTAGTGAGCTGTGCCTCAGTCCTAGCCGCACGGTAGCTAGTCTCAAGTGCACAGAGATGGGTGGCAAGGTCAGTGGCAGTGGGGAAGGACACAAGATTAGGAATATTATGGGGAGGATCAAACGGTCGGCAAAGGCGGAGGAGGGAGTGGAATAGCGCACAATGACCGCATCTAAGTATTCCTTCGCATTTGCTACAGCGGTAAAGCAGGGATGCTTAGACAGGGGGAGGGCGTGACTAATAGCAAGCTGTGCGAATGCGTCGCGTGACTCCCAAACAGCGCGAGCAAGCTCAGCAGGGCAAAGGCCTTACGCTCAGCAGACATGGGGGCATCAGGGAGGACAGAAGGCACGGCGGGATGGGGGGGCTTACCGTCGATGTGGACAGCCAGGGAATAGCTGTCCTGGCACTGACCATTCAGCTGGCGGCAGAGGTCGACAAGCCACGCCTCAAAATCAACCGCCCGACCCTCCGCGTCCAGACGGAGCACATAGTCCGCCATCACCATGGCTGCAGCAACTGACTGTCGCTGGAGGGGGAGGGGAGCGGTGGAGAGCCGTGGGGAGTGGTGGAGAGTGGTGAAGAGTGGTGGAGAATGGTGGAGAGCGGTGGAGAGCGGTGGAGATGGCCGGCGGGAGCGCCGACGCCAAGGGGAAGCCAACGCCGGTAGGTCGGCCTGGTAGTGCGGCGACGCGGCGGCTCGGAGGATCGGGGGCTCGGTGGCCCGACGGTGCAGTGGCGCGGTGGCTCGGCAGCTCGGCGGCGCGGCACGGCTAGGGCCGGTAGTGACTGGGGCCGGCGCAGACAGGGGCCGGCGCGGACGGGGACCGGAGCGGCAGGGGCCGACAAGCAGGGGCCGGCGAGTAGAGGTCGACTAGAGCTGGGGTCTGCGCGGACTAGGGTCGACGAGCAGGGGCCGGCAAGCAGGGGCCGGTGAGTAGAGGCCGGTGAGCAGGGGCCGGTAAGTAGGGGCTGACGCGCGGGCCGGCATGCTAGGTCCGGCGATCAACGGGCCAGCGGGCGAGCGCGTGGTCAGTGGGCGAGAGGCGGTAGGCGGCTACTAGCGGTTGGCGGCTCCGGGCGACCAGCGGCTACCGGCAGTCGGCGGTTACGGGCGGCTGGCGGCTACAGGCGACCAACGGCTACGGGCGGCTGGCGGCGACGTGCGGCGGGCACCTATGGGCGGCACAAGGCGACGGGTGGCCAGCGGCAGTGAGCGGCGAGCAACTAGCAGCGGCGGCTAGCGACGAGCGGCTAGGAACGAGCGGCTAGCGACGAGCGGCTAGGGCTAGGGCTAGTACTAGGGCGGAAGCGCGGGTGGGCGAGGAGGACCTAACCTAGCGTGATACCATTTCAGAGTAACGGAATCAACTAGATTGAGATATACAGGGTGGTTTTGTGCTGAGGGGTTGTACTTTCGAAGAGTACGTACCTATCTAGCAAAAAAAAAAAAAAAAAAAAAATGTATATTTGACACAGAATACCCTGTTGAAATGAACCATGCGTTTAGGGCGGGCAGGATCTAGAGTTGGTGGAACCACGAGTAAAAGTCAGCGGAAGACTTAACACCTTGTACTGGAAATGTCAGAGATGTCAAGGATAATAATGATGAGTAATATCTGCATATTTATAGTCTCGGAAGTACCTATTCGGAATATATCTGTTCGTAGTGTGTCGCAACTATTCACGTGACATGACTAGTGAATATTCGTGTGACTGACACTGACGTGACCCTTCGAGTGACTATACGTGCTAACCTACTGTTTACGCGTTGACTCGCTACTTTTGACGTTATCACGTTAGTAGGTGTGCTATTCTACTGGATCCTACTGTAGAGGGGACAACCCTCCCTTCTCGTATCTCTCTTTCCTAGTGGTTCTCTTTTCTCTCATCAACTTTCTCCTACCCTAGCTAAACCTCTCGCTAGTCCTATGCCTAGTTCCTAAGCTCTCTTAACATGGTTTCGGAGCAGGCCCTTCCGTTCGGGCCTTCTCTTCACGCTTCCGCGGCGTCCTCTCCTCACTTCCGCACCGCTGTGGCAGCCATGTCGTGCTGCCATGGCGGCTTCGCGGTGCTGCCGTGGCAGCCTTGACACGCTGCCATGGCTTCGACACCACGCAGTGGCGGCGTCGTCTAGCTGTCGTGGCGTCGTCGACGGGCGGCAGCGGGGGCCGCGCAATGTTTTAACGCCGGCCAGCTCGCCCGCACGCCAGCCAGCGCCGCGCCGCCATGACGCGTCGCTGCAGCTTCGCCCTCCCTCCTCTGCATTTCCCTTTCTCCCCGCCGCAGCCGATGGCTGTCTGGCGCCGTGCGGCCCCGTCGTTGCTGAGGCGGGCGACGTCGCCAGGTGCCGCGGTCTCCGTCGTCGCCGCCGCCGTCGTCGAAGCCGCCGCCGATACTGCAGGTGCCGCTGGCTCCGCCGCCACCGGCCGCTATCGTCGTACCGTCGTCGCCGCCGCCGCTGACGTCGCAACCTCGCACGTCGAAAGGTCGACTGGGCTGTTGCAGGGCATGGGGGTGCAAGGGTTTTGGGGGTGCTGTGTGTGTGGTGTGCTTTCGACTACCAAGCCTAGGGGGTGTGCCAAATTATATATTATATATATTATTCTTTTTTTGTTTATGCTTGGTAGGTATGCTACTCTACTGGATCCTACTATAGAGGAGACAACCCCCCCTTCTTGTATCTCTCTGTCTTTCCTAGTGACTCTCTTTTCTCTCGTCCACTTTCTCCTACCCTAGCTAAACCTCTTGCTAGTCCTATGCCTAGTTCATAAGCTCTCTTAATAGTATCACACTACTAGTACAGTCTAAGTATAATATCAGGAATGCATAAATGATAACTCTACCGAGTATACTTCAACACCCAGTGGGTCTCTCGACACCCGCCCTCGCTAGGATATGCGGAAGACTTGGCTCATCTGCTAGTGCATTGTCACATCTACCGGTGCACACTATGAGTTGGACCCGAGACCTTTAGCTTCGATACATTTTCAGAACTCAGTTACTAACCACTGAGTTAAAAGGGTTTGTTAAGTAGCGGGTACGTGCGCCCATAATCCCCTAAGCAGATAGATGACTAATTCCCTAAGCAGATAGACGACTTGTAGGTTGTAGCCCTTCCCCGAGGATCTCAAGAGCAACCCCACAGAAACTCTTGACAATTCACGTTTTCCGCTTTATTTTCCTCGCTGCTCGGCTGGTGTGGACCCTAAAAGCTATGAAACTTTGCCGTTATAACAATTATGGCATACTGACTAGCAGTTAACATATGAAATGTTTTTACCACTTGTTCCCTTTTTAAAATTGATCTAATGGTATGATCAATATGTATGACAGAATGCAGACACTTGGTCAGATTCGCTGAGTACAGTAGTTGCCGAGGCGGAGGGTAATTATGAATAAGAAAGTATTGCCTTCCACTCCACTCCCAAGTCTTACCAAAGAACCACGTCATCGTTCACGGGGATATTCACTGCCATTCACAACCGTTAGATCAAGATTATGTCATCCAGCGCAAACCTACTGCGCCTTTCCCGCCATTCCGGCTGAGCAGATGAGAGTGCCTCGAGGTTTCTCTTCTGATTTCAGTCGTGGACTGGCTTCATCTGAAGATTTATGTCGTTCTGTTTTCATACGACCTGAAAGCAACGATACGGGTTCCCACACGCTATTCGCGTTTTTGTTTTCCCACCAGGAAGTGAAAACCGGGGCCGTCATCCATGTCGGCCCTGATTGATACCGCTGATTTAGGCCGTTGTGGCAATCCTTTTCCATGGATTGCCACACTGGATGTTCTGAAACTTCATCGGAGATTCGTTCATGACCGGCTCATTGTTAAGTATAACCTGGTTTTGTTCCAAAGGGGAATTATCCAGTACAGTACAGAAGATGGCGATCCCCTAACACACACCACACTGGAGAAGTCACGTCAAAGTCCCAACGAAGGCTGGGTTTGAAGGTTCGGCACACCACGCCAAGCCCCAAAAAATGGCAAAACACCCCAACAGACGCAATCTTCCACTCACCTCCACGCTGCAGACAGACTACCAGCCCATCTAAGGACGCGCTACATTGCGTCCGGTTCTCTGTTTTTTTTGAAGGATTTCGATTCTGACTAAATAAAAACGATCTCCAATATCGATCTCATACGTCATAGGCATGTTCCAGATCTGCAATTTCTGAACTCGAATATCGCTTTGCAGCTGGACAACAAGGCATTTCGCAGAATATATCGTCGAAACCCAGCAACCCTCCTGGGACCTTCGCGTGTGCGGCGCGAGTCAGGAGGATTTGCCTTGTCACAGTTTTCGCAATGACGAGCTGGCGAAGCGCTTCTGATTTCGTGGCTTTTGGGGGTGGGGTGATCTGGTACTTTGTCGAGAATAATCGTTTCTGTTTTGGGCGTGGGATTGATTCCCGGTTTTGTTTCGAAAGTGATCTTCCCCTTCTATCTGGTACAGCTACATGACTATTTCTAGGCAACTGTAGCTGTCGGGTTACCTGCTTTCTACAGTGCGAGGATCGCAAAACGATCGTCGAAACGGACGCAATGTAGCGCGTCCTAAGCGGCCAGGCTGCACTCTCTCACAGCGAACCTAGGATGACACTCACACACACACAACCCAACGCAACTACTGCCACTACCAACCAAGCAACCAAGCACCCTCTCCCCTAAACCAGTCTGGTGAGAGCATTCCCTGAAGTCGCGGCCGCATTCCTTCTGTCCTGCGTCGAACCGACCGCTCTGTTACCTCGTCGTCGATCGCTCGATTGATATCCGTTGCCCCTTCGTTTGCTAGTCGGCTCGCTTCCTTCCCCTGCTTCCTCGTCGTTATCCCCCCTACTAGCTCCAAGTAACCCGGCATTCCTGCGACTCGCAGCGACGAGTTTTCGTCCACGACAGGGTCGCACGAAGCAGTCGCCGGCGTGTGCGTACGCCTCGGTACGCTTCGGTTCGGTTCGGCTCGCCTCGGCTCGCCTCGGTTTGCTGGCGTTCGCACAACACAGCCATGGCGGATCCTGGAGCTCTACCCCGGCCGTTTCGTTGATTAAGGAGCAGCGGCGTAGGGTGATTAAGGCAACACTAGGTCACGACTAAAGCAAGATCAGGGCAACGACATTCGTTACAAGCGCGACAGAGTCAGCTGGTTCGATAGGTCGACAGGGTTAGCAGTGCGTCACCATTATTTACCCCTTCTTGCCAACAGGTTAGGTATACCACCAAGTATAAAACACTCTCTGGTATAAATAACTCCGCTCTCCGTACCAGTCCGAGCTCTTCTACTGAAGTACTGGTATTGCCGAGCCTAGTCGCTGCTGCCAGCCACCTGCTCGACGCTTCTTTTCTAACACTCATGGCCCAGAACCATCTATGCCCTTCCCTCCCCTCCACTCTCTCGCAACCCTCCCATCATCCGCGCTATCCCCCGCACATTCTCCCCCCCCATTCCCGCGCAACCTCCCGCGTAGTCTCCCGCGCAACCGCAGCCGCCATCCCCGCTCCGCCCCCTTCCTCCCCCGGCTTTACAGCCCAGCTGCGCACTACGTTCCCCATCGCTTGCCGTTCCGTGTCGTGCCCACGGTCGCCGCTAGTGCCGCCGCTAGTGCCGCCGCTAGTGCCGCCACACCATGCGGCAGTCCACGTCATCACTCCGCCGCTGCCGCACCGCAAGCATTGCCAATCGCGTCGCCTAACTCTCCGAAACGGCTACCGCCTCCCCCTGTTAGCGCCTGCGACCCCGCACTCGCCCCACCCCGCGTCCGCGCATTCCAGCCGTGCTCAGCTACCCTGCAGCTGGGTTTCCGGCAGCGGCGGCGGCGGTAGCGGAAGCGGCGGAAGCGGCGGAGGCTGTAGGTGGAGGGGGAGACCTCGCGCGGGAAACAATAGCGGGACCAACGACCCGCCGCAGCAGCAGCAACCGCCGGCGCAGCAGCAGAAGCAAGGGATGTGGGCGACGAAAGAGGGAGGGGGGGTAGTGAACGGGTTCTCATTCGGACGGCTATTCGAGACCATGGATCGAGTCACGCGCCAGCAGCAGCCGCGCCAACAGCAAGCGGAGGCAACGGCTCCACCGCCGCCTCCGCCGCCGCCGCCTCCATCGCCGCCGAAGCAGCAGCAGCAGCAGCAGCAGCAGCAGCAGGAGGCGGAGTTGCGGAAGCAGCAGGAGGAGGAGGTGCGGAGGCAGCGGCGTCTGGAGCAGCTGCACCAGCAGCAGGTCGCGGCGGCGGCGGCGGCCAGGCAGGAAGCGCAGGCCCTGCTGCAGCAACAACAGCAGCAGCAGCAGCAGCAGCAGCGATTGCAGCAGCAGAGCCTGTTACAAGCGCAGCAGCAGCAACAAAGGTTAAAGGAGCAGCAACGGTTACAGCAGCACCGGCAGATGCTTCAGCAGCAGCAGCAGCAACAGCCGCCGCCGCCGCCGCAGCAGCAGCAGCAGCAGCGTCAGTCGCAGCTGCTTCAGCAGCAGAGAGTGCCCCTTGCGCCGTCACAGCCACACCAGCAGCAGCCCAAGCAAGCAATGCCGCAACTCCCGCAACAGATGATACAGCAGCCGCGGCAGCAGATGCCGCAGCAGCAGCAGGAAGAGCAGCAGTTAATCCCGGGCTTCCCGAAATTCTCTCAGCTGGTGTCGTTCCTCCAGAGCCCCACCACGTACCCGGATCCCCCCCCTCCCCCCGCGCCGTGCTCGCGCGTGTACAGCCACGTGAACGTGCAGCGCCCCGCGGACTACTGGGACTACGAGGCGCTAAGGGTGCCGTGGGGGTGAGTGGAAGCTTTGGAGGGAGGGTAAGTGTGAGGAAGTGGTGGGGAGTGGTGTGATGCGGTGTGAGGTGTGCGGTGGTGCCTAGAGCCAAGGGCACGTGCAGCGACCCGCGGACTACTGGGACTACGAGGCGCTGAGGGTGCCGTGGGGGTGATTGGGAGGGGTAAATGGCAAGGGGAGAATGTGGGAAATGGTGTGATGTGGTGTGATGTGGTGCCCTCCAAAACCCTACACTGCATTAGGCTTTCGTGGGGGTGAGTTGGGGGGAAGAAGAGGAGAGGGGGCGGGGGGGGAGGGGAGGGGAGGAAAGGGAGGAGATGGGGAGTGGTGTGGTGGGAAGTGTCCAGGTTGCTTCCCACTGTTGAATATCCGAGTTGGTGTTGCGCAATGTGTGTGTGGGGGGGGGGGGGGCGCAAGTACCGTGCAACCCGGACTTTTGAATCGACTCAAGAGTTGGTGGTGCGCAAAATGGGGCGGGGCAGATACCGTGCAACCCAGAAACCTTGTCCCCTTGGATCCCGCTTCCCCTAACCCCGCTCCTCCCAATGAAACCCCCTTTCCCCCTGCATGTATGCATGGACCAGGCGGACTAGGAGCTAGTGCGCAAGGTGGGGCGCGGCAAGCCCAGCGAGGTGTTTGGAAGGCTGGTCATGGTCAACCGCCAAGTGAACTCGTCCCCAGTCTCCGTCATCTATGCAACCCGCCCCCCCTTTTCCTCTACCCCACAGAGACCAGGCGGACTATGAGCTAGTGCGCAAGGTGGGGCGTGGCAAATACAGCGAGGTGTTTGAGGGGCGCAGCACGCGGCACGGCGCGCGCTGCATCGTCAAAGTGCTCAAGCCCGTCAGGCGGAAGAAGGTGCGGAGGGCGGGGCAGGGGGAGGAGGGGCAAGGAGTGAAACGTTTGTGTGGGGGCGAGGGGGGGGAGTGGGGGGGAAAGAGGAATGGAGAGGGCGATTGAGTGAGTGGATGGGCGCGCATGGTACACTAGATTGTTTGGTTGCATTGCATGCCCTCATTCACCCGTTAGACCAGGTGAGCTGCAAGTATCTTTCTACCTGCAGCCCGCCCAGTCTAATGGCCGATGTTTCGTTACACATCCCTTCCTTTCCCACCCACCCTTTCCCCACCCACACGTCCAATCTTTACGTGACCCCTCTCCCCTCCTCCCCCCCCCCCCCCCCTCCCCCCCTTTCAGTTCCTCGTTTTGTCCCTCCCTCTCCCCCCCCACCCCACCCCCACCCCATCTCCCTCTCCATCTGTCTCTCCTTCCTTTCTCTCCCTTTTTCTCCTCTTTCTGCCCCCCTCCACAAACCACCCCCCCCCCCCTCCCCCCCCCCGCCCACACACGGACTAAGCACACATAACAGTAAATTGCACCTCCTTCCTGCTCTTGTTTCATCCCTTCTCCCACCCCCTTTTCTCGATTATCCCTCCCTCCCTCCCTCCCTCCCTCCCTTCTCCTTTTCCTCCTTGCCCCACCCACCCCACCCCCCTTCATCTTCCCCCCCCATCCCCCCCCCCCGCGTTCCGTCAGATTCTGCGCGAGATAAAGATCCTGCAGAACCTCATGGACGTGGTGGACGTGGTGCAGGACGCCCTCTCCCTCCCTCCCTCACTGGCTCCCTACGTCCGTCCGTCCATACCTCCCGTCCGCTTCTTTCTCCCCTCTCCGCCCGCCCATCCGTCCCTCCCTTCTCCCCTCTCCCCATTCCTGCCTTCCCCTCCCCCCATCAGATTCTGCGCGAGATCAAGATCCTGCAGAACCTCATGGGCGGTCGCAACATCATCCAGCTGCTGGACGTGGTGCAGGATGCCGCCTCCACCACGCCCTCACTCATCTTTGAGTTTGTCAACAACCACGACTTCAAGCACCTCTACCCGGCACTCACTGACCTCGATATCCGGTTTTATCTCTTCGAGCTGCTGCAGGTGTGTCTGCAGGCTTGCCGTTGTGTTCTTGTGTCTGCGTGTGTGCACGTGTGGGTTTGAGTTTGTCAAGCACCTCTACCCGGCGCTCACCGACCTCGACATCCGATTCTACTTATACGAGCTGCTGCAGGTGTGGGCTGTGTGTGTGTACACCTGCGTGCACGTGCATGCGTGGCCTTGCATGTGTTGGTCTGTCTGTGGGCAAGTGTGTGTTGAGTTTGTTAACAACCACGACCTCAAGCACCTCTACCCGGCTCTCAGCGACCTCGACATCCAGTTCTATTCGTACGAGCTGCTGCAGGTGCGCCTGCAGGCATGCAGCTGTGTGCATGTGCGTGTGCATGCATGTTCTTGTGCGTGCTTGCGTGTGTATACAACTGTGTGTTCGAGTTTGTCAGCAACCACGACTTGAAGCATCACAACTCCACCCAGCTCTCACAGACCTGGATATCCGGTTCGACTTATTCCAGCTGCTAAAGGTGCGGCTGTATGCACGTGACACGTATGCGTGCATGTTTCTTGTTTGTTTGCTTAGCAAGCAAGCTGTAATTTCTATCAACAACTTTGAGCACCTCTTCCTAGCTTTAATGGACCTTGAGTTTGCCTCCAACCGGCCTCCCCCCGCCCCTTCCCTCCCCCCCTTCCCCCCCACCCCTCCCCCTCCCATCCCAGGCGCTGGACTTTGCGCACTCGCAGGGCATCATGCACCGCGACGTGAAGCCGCACAACGTGATGATCGACCACCAGCGCCGCCAGCTGCGCCTCATCGACTGGGGCCTCGCCGAGTTCTACCACCCGGGCATGGCCTACAACGTCAGAGTCGCCTCCAGGTGCGCGTTGTGTGGGTGCATGTATGTGTTGCGTGGGTGCAGTTGTGTGTTGTGTGGGGTGCAGGCGGGTGTTGTGTGGGGTGCAGTTGTGTGTTGTGCGGGTGCAGCTGTGTGTTGTGTGTATGTGTGGGTTGAAGCTTTAACCCAGGCAGTGCCCGCCACCTGCGCCTCATCGACTGGGGGGTCGTCGAGTTCTACCACCCGGGCATGGCCTACAACGTGCGCGTCGCCTCCAGGTGAGAGTGGGTGTGGAGGGGGAAGGGGAGGGGAGTGGTGAGGATAGGCAAGGAGGAGACAGGTGGGGGAGAAAAAGGAGAGGAGAGGAGAGGAGAGGAAGGGGGTGTGTGTTCCTTTGTTTTTCCCCCCAACCTTTTCCCTCCCTTCGTAACCCCCCTCCCCCCCCCTTCAAATGCACGTGGCGGTGCATGCCCCCCCTCCCCCCCCCCCCCCACCCGCTCAAGGGGCCTGGAGCTGCTAGTGAACATCAAGGACTACAACTGCTCTAACACACCCTATCCCCCTCCCCCCTGCCCCCCGTTCCCTTCCCCCAATGCCCACTCCCCCCCTCCGTAACATGCGGTGCATCCCTCTCCCCCCCCCCAGGTACTTCAAGGGGCCGGAGCTGCTGGTGAACATCGAGGACTACGACTACTCGCTGGACATGTGGAGTCTGGGATGCATGCTGGCCGGCATGGTGGGTGCAGGGGGGATGGGCGTGGTGGGTGCAGGGGTAATGAGCGTGGCATGGCATGGGACGGTATAGCATGGTGTGGCATGGTGGTGTGTGCAGGACTATGATGAACGTGCGCTGGACATGTGGAGCCTGGGATGCATGCTGGCCGGCATGGTATGGCATGATGTGGTTGTGGGTTTGGCATGATGTGGTTGTGGGTTTGGCATGATGTGGCTATGGGGTGGGGCATTATGTGGTTGTATGATGTGATTGGGCCATGTTTCATGCTCCCAGACTTCCTTTCCTCTCCTCCCCCCCCCCCCCCCTCTTTTTCCCCCTTCCCTCTTATTCTGCTCGCTTTCCTCTCTTCCTCCCTCCCTCCCTCCCTCCCTTTTCCCCTCCCACCAGATCTTTCGCCGGGAGCCCTTCTTCTTTGGAGCGGACAACAACGACCAGCTCGTCAAGATCGCACAGGTGACCGACCACCAGCAATGCATAATGCCGTGCAGCAAGGCCTCCCCCACCCTCCCCCATCTATCCCACTCGCTCTGCTCTGTGCTAGGCATGTCGGACCTGTACCAGTACCTCTTGCACTCTTCTGCGCACCTCGACCCTCAGCTGCAGACTCTCTCCCCCCTCCCCCCTGCCTCCTCCTTCACTCCCCCACCCTCCCCCATCCATCCCCCCTGCCTCCTCCTTCACTCCCCCACCCTCCCCCATCCATCCCCCCCAACCAGGTGCTGGGCACGTCGGACCTGTACCAGTACCTGTCGCGCTACTCTGTGCGCCTGGACGCCCAGCTGCACACTCTCTCTCCCCAACCTGGCCCCCCTCTCACGCACTCTCTCACTCTCTCCCTCAACACACAAACTCTCTCCCCTCTCCCCCCTTCCCAGGTGCTGGGCACGTCGGACCTGTATCAGTACCTGTCGCGCTACTCTGTGCGCCTGGACTCCCAGCTGCAGTCCGCGGTCGGCAGGTGTGTGCGCAGGGGGGGGGGGCTGTAAGAGGGGTCTGTCCATGGAGTCTGCAAAGGGGGTGCTGTCAGGGGGGGCTGTCAGGGGGAAGTTGGGAGGGGGGGGGGCTGTCAGGGGGGGTTGTGGGCAGGTAAGCAGGTGGGCTGCGTTTGACCCGACCTACAAGCAGGTGCGCTACTCCGTGCGCCTGGATGCTCAGCTGCAGCTCGCTGTGGGCAGTTGTGTGTGTGCGGGTGGAGTGATAAGGGGTGGGAGGGGTGGTACACTCAGCAGTGGGGGGCAGGAGCAAGTGCAGTACAATTTTCAACAGCAAGTTGTTTGCGTCACACTCTATCCCTCCCCACCAGCTCTTTCCCACTAAACTCTACCATTCCAGCTCACCTCCTTTGTCAAGCGCCCACGCAACCCATTCCCCCTGTTCCTGGTGTCTAAAGTTCGAGTCAACCCAACAGCCACTCCCTCCCCCCCCCTTTCCCCCCATCCCCCCTTTCTCCCTCTCACACCCTTTGCTCTTTTTCAACTCTCGCAACCCCTGAACTCTCCGCCTTCCGTTCTCCCCCCCCCCGCCCCCCACCTCCCCAACCCCCCAGGCATCGGCGCAAGCCATGGTCTCGCTTTGTGACAGCTGAAAACCAGCACCTCGTGTCGCCAGAGGTATTGCCATGCCCTGCCATGCCATGCCATGCCATGCGACATTGCTCTTGAGTCTACTACTATCCCTCCCATCCGCCCCGCCCCCCCCCAGTTCCTCATCTCTACCACCCACCTCCTCCCCCCGCCTCTCCCTTCCTGTGCTCTTCTCATCCTCCTTCCTTTTCTCGCTTCAGGCTTTCTCCCATCTCCTCCCATTCCAATTTCCAACCCCTCCCTCACACTCCCCCCCCCTCCCCCCAGGCCATCGACTTTCTGGACCGCCTGCAGTGATATGATCGCCAGGAGCGGCTCACAGCCAAGCAAGCCATGGTGGGTGGCCCACTGCTTTTGAGGCGCCTGAAAACTCCACTTCCCCCTTTTCCCATTCTCCTCCCCCCCCCCCCCCCCACACTGTCCCCACCCTCCAGGCCATTGACTTTCTTGACCGCCTGCTGCGATATGATCACCAGGAGCGGCTAACAGCCAAGCAAGCCATGGTGGGTGGCCGCCTGTGGCATGCCACAGGGTGGCGTGGTCTGGCGTGATGGGTGGCATTGCGGGTGGCATGGACTGGTGTTGTGGGTAGTGCGTGTGGTTCTATCCCTATTCAGCAGCATGTGTTACCAAGGGATGACATTGGCTAGCACATGATGCAGCCCATGCTTTTGAGTCGACTCAAGAGCTGGTGTTGTGGGTGGCGTGTGCCGTGCGGCCCCATCCCTATCCATCAGCATGTGATACCAACCAAGGGATGACATGGGCTAGCACATGATGTAACCCATCACATCCCATGACTCGTACGGCACCTCCTTTACCACCATAACCCATCACATAACATCGCATAACATCACATCACAGAACGTTTTGGCCCAGTCCCATCCCACTTCATCCCATCCCCTCCCATCGCATCCCACGTCCTCCCCCCCCTATCCATCCCCCTCCCCTCCTTTCCCCCCAAAAACAACCCTATTTTGAACCAAGAAAACAAAACCTCTCACCCTCCTGCCAGCACCCTCTTATAACGCATCCCATGTCCTCCCCTCCCATCTGCTGTCCTTTTCGCCCCTCCCTTCCCCCCAGGACCACCCCTACTTTGACCTTGTCAGAAAACCCTCCCCTTGCCCTCCCTCCTGCACCTCCATTGAGATGTCTCAAAACACATCCCTTCCCATCCCATGTCCTCCCCTCCCATCCCCTATCCATCCCGCCCCTTTCTTCCCCCCAGGACCACCCCTACTTCGATCCCATTAGAAACCCTTCTCTGCGCCCTCCCTCTTGCTCGGGCTGATGTGCAAGGAATGGGACGAGAGGGGGGAGAGAGGGGAAGGGGGGGGAGTTTAGAGAGGGGAGGGACGCTTTTGAGTCGACTCAAAAGCAGACTCTCTGCGCCCTCTTTCTCGCACTGGCTGACGTGCAAGGAATGGGACGAGAGTGGGTAGAGGGGGGGAGGGGGAGGAGGGGGGGTATTTTATCGCAGTATTATGACGGAATGTGAGGGTACTGATTGAAAAGCCAAGGGGAGGAGGGTGGGACAGACACAGCAGGCGCCACAGTTTTTTGGGTCGGGGGATTGATTCCGACCCATTCCAGTGCTGCAGATGACTCTTGAGGGGTCATAGTTTTTCAATGTCGGGTCAGGTTGGGTGACTCCATTCTTCTGCGCAAGGGCGTGCGGCGAATCAAAACCGCGCGTCATGAGACGAGGCGGTGTTTGTTTGAGGCGGGCAGCTCAAAGAAGGCGCCACAGGACGGTCGTCACGTTAATGTCGGGTTGGGACTCGGGTGACTCAATCCATTCTGTTCCACAGCTCAAGGGCAGCGGCAGGGTGCTTGCCACACTCTCTTTCTTCCTCTACTCGCTGTTGTGCCAAGGGGAACGCGCAAGGGGGGGAGACCGATTGTATCGAGGGAAGGGCAGGGCAGGGCAGGGGAGGACGGGGAAGAGGAGGCGCTGTATCGGCACATGGGTCTGGTCTGCTCTGGTACGGTATGAATATGGCATACTCTGGTGGATGGGACGGTTGTGAAACGGAGTTGAATTGCCTTGCCACAGCAAAGGGCCTGCCGTACACTGTGCTTGTGCTTTCAGACAGCAGCAACAAGGTACTTGTCCGCGCTACCATCTACAGTTCCTGTTGCGCTGGACTGGTGCCCTGCCTGCCTGCTGCTCATGGCACATTGTAGTAGGTTCGTTCGGTGATTCGGCACATCCATCCAGCTCTTTTGGTAGGCAGTTTATTACGGTACTACAAGCCTTGTTTCAATGCTTCGTAACATGGCACGTTTATTTTTGTTTGACCTGGCATGTCACCCCCCCCTGTTTGTGCTTGTTTTGAACCGTGCTATTTGTTGGAGTAGCGGGATAAAGTTGATGAAGGAAAACGTTTAGGAGCAAACTAGAGATGTTCAGAGTCCAACATGTGTATCTGTTACTATAGGCTAGATAGATGCGTACTCTTAGAGAGTACAACCCCTAAGCACAAAAATACAGTGTACCTCTCATCTACTCACTTCGCTACTTTTATATGGTATCACGCTAGGTTAGGTCCTCCCCGCTTGCCCGCACTTCTGCCCTAGCCCTAGACCCAGCCGCCCGTCGCTAGCTGCCCGTAGTCGCCTGTCGCCTCCCGCTAGCCGACCGTCACCGCCCGTAGCCCCACGCCCGCTGGCCCCGCGATCGTCAGCCCCGCACCCGCTGGCCCAGAGCTCGCCGGCCCTGCGCCTGCCTGCCCCGCGACCGCTGGCCCCGATTTCATCAGCACCGCGCCCGCTGGCCCTGCATTCGCCAGCCCCTCGCCGCCGGCCCCGTGCTCTCTGGCCCCGCGCCCGCCGGCCTCTGCGCTCGCCAGCCCTGCGCCCGCTGGCCCCCGCGCCTGCTAGTCCCGCACCTGCTGACCCCGCGCCCGTCAGCCCTGCACCTACTGGCCCCGCGCCCGCCAGGCCCGCGCCTGCTGGCCCCACGCCCACCAGCCCCGCGCCCACCAGCCCTGCGCCTGCTGGCCCAGCGCCCACCAACCCCGCGCTTGCCGGGCCCGCGCCCGCTGGCCCCGCGCCTGCCGGCTCCGTTGCCCTCGCCCTGCTCTCATGCCGGTCTCAGCTCCGTTGGCCCCCGTTCCGCCGGCCTCAGCTCCGCCGGCCGCAGCTACGCCGGTCCCAGCCCGCCCCGTGCTGACTCGCCAGCCTTGGCTCCTCCTCTGAGCCGACGCTCCCGTCGGCAGGCTCCACCGCTCTCCACCGCACTCTACCGCTCTCCACCGCACTCTACCGCTCTCCACCGCGCTCCACAGCTCTCCATCGCACTCCACCGTCCTCCACCGCATTTCTCCTCCCCCCCCGGTCAGCTGTGGTCAGCTGCTGCAGCCTTGGTGATGGCGGACTCAGTGCTCCGCCTGGACGCAGAGGGTCGGGCCGTTGATTTTGAGGCGTGGCTCGTCGACCTCCGCCGCCTGCTGACTGGTCAGCGCCAGGACGGCCACTCCCTGGACGTCCATGTCGACGGTAAGCTCCCCTTCCCCGCCACACCCGCTGCCCTCCCTGACGCCCCCACGTCTGCTGGGCGTGAGGCCTTTACCGCTGCTGAGCTTGCCCGCGCTGTCTGGGAGTCGTGCGACGCCGTTTCACAGCTTGCCATTAGTCACGCCCTCCTCCTATCTAAGCGTCCCCACTTTACCGCTGTAGCAAACACAAAAGAGTTCTTAGATGCAGTCATTGCGCGCTATTCCACTCCCTCCTCAGCCTCTGCCGGCTGCCTGATCGTCCCCTTGTTGTTCCCTGACCTTGCATCCTTCCCCACTGGCGCTGATCTCGCCACTCACCTCCACGCACTTGAGACTAGCTACCGCGCTGCTAGCACTGAGGCACAGCTCACTGCTTTTTCGCCGCCGCTTTGCGCTACCCTTTACCTTATTGCCACGCACCTTCCTGACAGCCTAGACACTGCCCACGACCACTTCCTTAGTCAGCACCCGGTAACCTCACCCTTACCGCCTTTGGTGAAGGGAACAAGACAAACTCAGGGCAGCACTACTACTGCATCCACCCGGATAGGCGCCCCTAGGGGCGTGTAGGGTGAATAGAGCTGGGAAGGGGTGGGGCTAATGATCGAATTTTAATAAATAAGCCCCAGGGCTAATCTTACGTAATTACAAAAACAAAAAATATTCTTTAAAAAAGTAGGAGTGTGCGTCCATGTTGCTGCTATCGTATTGTGGTCGAATTGGCAAGGGACGTGCCGAATTTTCCCGAGAAAATGCTCTCCGAAGATGCTGACGAACTTGTAAACTCAATCAGCCAATGGGAATCCCGCTCTGCTTGTGCTGGAAGTTTAACAGATTCGGCGATTTTGTTCGGGCCCGTTTCTACAGCTGCATGTCAGATTCAGCATGAAGCATGATTCAACCTCACATTCAATTTCGCAATTCAATGTGGTGCGGCTTGTTTTGTCGCGAAACGGCGAAATCGAATGTGAGGGCCGCAAGGTTTTCTGGTGCGAGATTTTCTGACGCGGGGTCATTGCTGTGTGTTTGCGCATGCGGCTGAAACACGGGGGCCGTTCGCTGGCAATTTTCCGAGGGGAACAGGGAGGGGAACGGGCGACCAAATCCCGCGCGCATGGAATCTGCGCAGCCAAAGCTACGCGATTTTTTTTGTGTGCCCCTGTACTTTGGTAATCATAACGTCGCCGGCTCATGATTATGTCGGTCACGACTGCAGGACTGGATAAGACAAACTCGTGGACAGTGAAGAGTGGGGCCCATCAAAAGCCCTTTTAGCCCATCGCCCTTTCGTGGAAAATCTAGCGGAGAAAATGAGATTCACACAATTTTGTCAAGACTGCCCATTTTTTTTACATTTCAAAATTTGACCGATTGGATGGGTATGAGCTGGCGCAATTGCGCAAATCGACGGGTAGGATTGAAGGGGAAGTGGCTGCGGTTTTTTTTTGGGTTTCGTAAACCTGCCCAGCCAAGAGGCATGCCAATCTTGGCCTGCCTCATACCACGATTTTGCAGTATGAGGTGTGGCACGTAGTTTGCCTGGCAGCTCTGGGCGGCTGATGGCCGCGCTTCGGGTTTGGCATGAGAAGGAGCACGCGATTTGGGGGCAATTGGTTTGGGGAAACCGAACCGACGAGACGTTTTCGCATGCTGACGTCACGTTTCGCAAATTGGGTTCGGCGAACCAACGAAGCCTCGATCGATGTTCCCCATGCCTGATTTCCCTCGCCGTGCCGGTGAAAAATTGGTCAGCGAACATCCCCACGCTGAGAGCTGTCTGAGAGAAGACTTTCGCGGAATGAGGGCAAACGCACTCAACAAAAGCTCCGTGATCATTCGGTAAAGGGTTCTTTATCTTGCTTTAAAATTTTCGTGGTCTGACTAGTAAGTTATCACAGAATTATAATCAGCTTTAATACTTGTTGATTGCATTTTTTTTTTGTTCACGTTTAAAACCACAGGCTAAAATAGCAAAGGGGGGCTTCAAGAGCGCCCCCCTTGAACGGCGGGCATAGAAAAACCTTTTGAGACACCAGCAAGTTTGTTCGGAAATCGAATTCGACTCGGGGAGGGGGGGGGGGGGGGGGGGGCAGAAATGAACCGAGGCTAGCACAAGACAACCACTTTCTTGCGAATGCGACACGTTATAAACCAGGCGCGTGACTCCTCGGCGACATCGCATCGCATGTGTTCAGAGCTCTTACAACAGGAGACAACACACGAAACGCAATCAGGGTCTGCGCACCCCCTCATTAGACAAGGCCAGGGAACACGCCCCCGAGCTCATAAGAATGACCTTGCCTCCCTACTCACACAGGAGGAAACAAATATCCTCAACTCGCGACCGACGCTGGTGCATTCACGGGTAGATTTCCCGCGTCGGAACTACTCACCGTGACCCCGCCTTCCCCTCCGACAATCTTCAACCAGCTGTCGAAAGGGCGAGACTAACCCCATCACCAATGCAGTAATCGTCGAGTAATGAGATACCGAGTAAGGGACCGTAGCAACCACCCTTGCCCCATAGAAGCGCCCCACCAAGAGTGCGAGAAACCCCCGACGAAAGTTGGGTATCCGTAAGAGAGTGAAGCCAATCACCGGCTGCACCACGAGTGGAGAACGCTAAGGAGCAACCCCCTCTCTCCTAGGCTCGAAAGGCATCTAGAGACGCACGCGTGACGGGGTCGAGCGCAGGTCCCCATTCCCTACAGCAGGAAAAAGGCATGCCTACTCGCACTTGCGCGGAACGCAAGACGGATGGAGGCCGACGGGGCGGCACGTGAGAGGAAGCGTGACCCGAAAATACCCATCCCAGGCAGACAATGTAAGAGACGGGGGGGGAGGGGGGGAAAGGGAGCGGGTGAGGCCAAGGCTGAGTAATCAGATTATGAGCTAATGTGAGGGCGACGCTGCGCGAAAAAACTTACCGGCCCAGACACCCAGGCCACTGGGAGGAAACGCATGAAGACATGCGTTCAGAAAAATGGCGCCCGAGGGAAAAGCACCCTACTGCACACCGAGCGGGGATGGCAATTCGGTACTGAAAAGGGGTCGCGACGAATCCTCCACGTTGGAGTAAACGGGAGCTCGAAGCACAGATGCCGGGGGGATCACGGGGTCTGGTGGAAAGGTGAGGGATATGTTTGGTTGGATAGTGCGACTTGCGGAAATAGGGGCAACGGGAGATAGGGCGAGAGGGAAATAGGAAGGGAGGAAGGAAGGGAGAGAGGGAAATAGGGGGTAGACGGGCATAGGGAGGGAGAGAGATATGCAGCCAAGGACCAGGGGGGTGGAGGGAGATACGAATCGAGGGAGACATGGAGGGAGGGTGGGGGTAACGATGAAGAAAGGAGGGGTGTAGCTAGGGGTAGAGGGAAATAGGGAGGGGGGGCGAAAAGGCGCGAGGGAGGGGGGGAAGGGAGGGAGATAGAGGGGAAGGTAGATAGGAGGCGAGGGAGATAGGAAGAGAGGGTAATATGGAGGGTGATAAACCCTCAGCGAAGGAGAAGGGGAGGAGGGGAGATACGGGGTGAGGAAGATAGGAAGCGAGGGAGAAAGGGTGGGAGGGAGGTATGCAGCGAAGGACCAGGGGGGAGGAGGGAGATACAAGCGAGGGAGATAGGGAGGGAGGGATGTATGCAGCGAAGGACCAGGGGGGAGGAGGCACATACAAAGCGAGGGAGATGGGGAGGGAGGGAGGTATGCAGCGAAGGACCAGGGGGAAGGAGGGGGATACAAGCGAGGGAGATATGGAGGGAGGGAGGTATGCAGCGAAGGACCAGGGGGAGGAGGGAGATACGAAGTAAGGGAGATAGGGAGGGAGGGAGGTATGCAAAGAAGGACCAGGGGGGAGGAGGGAGATACGAATCTGGAGAGAAAGGGAGGGAGGGA